AGTCGGTTGTGGGGAGACCCTGGGGAGCTCTCCTCTTACACAGCGCTGGTGGCCGCTGCCACCAGGTCCGAGGTGGGGTCGCTGGGTGGCCAGGCCTGGAGCTGGAGGGCTCAGCCATGGTCAGGCCAGATGGCCTGGCGGGCGTGACTCTGGGTCAGGAAGGGGGTGTCAGGGAAACTGAGGCACAGGACCATGATAGCCGGAGTGACGAGAACCTGAAAAGATGGCTTCCAGGTCACAGAGATGTGGGTGCAGACACCCACAAAATGAGCAAACATCCCTGTGCCCTGGGCAGTAGGAAAGTGGGGAGCCTCGGGCCGGATGACTAGATTCTGGCTGCTCAGAGTGGGGCCCCAGAGGCTGCGGGACCCCAGAAGGGGCGGCTGGGCCGGGAAGGGCCTGCTCGGGTGGTCAAAGCACGCTATGTGAAGTCCAGCCTGGGAGACACCAGCGTACTCTTCTGCTTGGGTCTTTTAGGTCCTCAAGGTCTAATATCCAGTTGCACAGGGAGGCGGAAATGGCCCTGGAGACGGATTCCTCTGGCAAGATCTCTCTTCCTTTTTCTTTGTCTCTAACCTTGTTTTGTTTTGTCTCTGATTTGAAGATCTCTTTGCAGGTCAAAGACACAGACAGTCATGTAACCTTCATACTGACGCGGCCCGAAGCTTTCTTCAGCCTGCCAGCCTCTTGTGCTGTTTCATGGCATTTTTTATACACAAATGTCGTACACAGCTAAGAAGGGTCTATTGCTCCTTTAGTACTGAAAAACCTTCTCTCCACCAAAGATGATAGACGCATCCCTTTTTATTCTTTTAGCATTTTATTTCCCTTTCTTTTTTTTTTTTTTTTTTGGTACCGGGGATTGAACTCGGGTCCTTGCGCTTTCGAGGCAGGCAACAGAACCACTGGGCTAAATCCCCGGCTTCACTTTCTTCATCATTTAGATCTTTTTGTACATTTTGCTGGATAATTTTTGGTGTTGGCTTGGATTTTTCAATGATTGGAAAAGTTATAAAAAATTTTTAGGGCCAGGGATTTAGCTCAGTGGTTCCGCCGCCTGCCTCACAAGGGCAAGGTCCCGAGTTTGATCCCCAGTACCAAAAAGAAAAAAATTTTTTTTTAAATGTCTCTGTTAATTTGACTGGAGTTATATTTCTAGATTACTTCTACTTCTAACCTAGTTCGGAAACTAGGACTTATCCTTCACTACCCAGCAATATTAACTAAAATGCACGTAGAAAGCAATGGCTAGACCAGTGACAGCAGGCCTTAGAGATGAGCACCTGAACGGCAACCCAAAACCCACTTATTTATCACAAAGCGCCAGCCCTGCATTTACACCTGAACACTGAACTTTTAGTAATACATACATTAATATCCTTTGTCTTAAAAGAAAACACGTGTACCATAGATTCGCCACCACTGGGCTGGACATTCTGAACTCTCTTGCGAGGAGTGGTGGCATATGCCTGTGATTCATATATTTGGAGGCTGAGGCAGGAGGATTGCGGTGAGTTCGAGGCCAGCATGGGCTACACAGTGAGTTCAAAGCCAACCTGGACTACACAGCAAAGCCCTATTGAGAAAAAATCTGGGAAGGAAGGGACAAAAACAAAAAAGAAAATAGAAGGAAAAAATGGAAACAAAGCTTTTGTACATAGGGAGGGGAGGGGCTGGGGGGATGGGATAAAATAAAATAAAGTTTATTTAAAAAAAAAATTTTTTTTTTGGTACTGGGGATCGAACTCGGGTCCTTGGCTTGCGAGGCAGGTGGCAGAACCACTGAGCTAAATCCCTGGCCCTAAAAAATTTTTTAAGAAAAAAGATCTGAATTCACTTAGGCAAAGCATGCTTCCCTCTTTGCACACTCTGCCACCCTGTGAACACCCAGCATCAAGTGTTTTAGTTCCACCCGCAGAATGCAACAATGCAACCGTCCATGAAGTAACAAAAATGCGGATTGGGCATTGCTCCAGCCCTTGGCTTTTATGTGTGTGAACTTTAAACATCTAGAAAGACAGGTGTTTCCAACAACGACTTGAATTCCCTTGAATATGTAATTTAAAAACTACCAACAAAGAAAAGCACTGACCCTGATGGATTCACTGCTGAATTCTACAAGATACTTAGAGAAGAGCTAATGCCGCTACTCCCCAAACTCTTTAATGAAATTGAAAGGGAAGCAACACTCCCAAATTCATTCCTGGAAGCAAGCATTACCCTGATTCCAAAACCAGAGAAGGATTCAACCAAAAAGGAGAATTACAGGCCAATCTCCCTAATGAACATAGTCGCAAAAATCCTCAACAAAGATACTGGCAAACAGAATGCAGCAAATCATCAAGAAGGTTATACACCATGACCAAGTGGGATTCATCCCAGGGATGTAGGGATGTTTCAACATGTGCAAATCAGTAAATGTAATACACTATATTAACAGAGCCAAGGACAAAAACTATATGATCCTCTCAATAGATGCAGAAAAAGCATTTGATGAGGTCCAACACTTATTCATGATAAAAACCCTACAAAAAATTGGTATAAAAAAATCTCTATCTCAATCTGATAAAACCCATCTATGACAAACCAGCAGCCAACATCATATTAAATGGACAAAAACTGAAGCTTTCACTCTAAAATCAGGAACAAGACAAGGATGTCCACTGTCTCCACTCCTGTTCAATATACTTCTGGAAACATTAGCCACAGCAATTAGACAAGAGAAAGAAACAAAAGGAATAAGGATAGGAAAAAAAAATGATCATTATTTGTAGTTGACATGATGCTCTATATAGAATACCCCAAAAACTCCACTGAAAGACTTCTAGATTTGATAATCAAATTCAGTGGCATAGCTGGATACAAAGTCAACACTCAAAAGTCAATAGCCTTCCTGTATACAAATAACAGACACATGGAGAGAGAAATTAGAGACACAATCCCTTTCACAATAGCATCCAAAAAAATGAAATACCTAGGAATCACTCTAATGAAGGAAGTAAAAGACCTCTACATTGAAAACTGCAGTACTCTGAAAAAGGAGATGGAAGAGGATACAAGAAAATGGAAAGATATCCCTTGTTCTTGGATAGGAAGGAACAATATAGTGAAAATGGCCATACTTCCAAACTGTTATACAGACTCCATGCAATCCCAATCAAAATCCCAACAGCAGGGCCAGGGATTTGGCTTTGTGGTTCCGCTGTCTGCCTCCTAAGCGCAAGGACCCGAGTTCAATCCCCGGTACCAAAAAATAGAAAAAACAATCCTAAAATTCATTTGGAACCAGGAGAGACCTAGAATAGCAAAGGCAGGGCCGGGAATTTAGCTCAGTGGTTCCGCCGCCTGCCTTGCAAGCGCAAGGATCCAAGTTCTATCCCCGGTACCAAAAAAAAAAAGCAAAGGCAATTCTGGGCAACAAAGGCAAGGCAGGGGCATCACAATCCCTGACTCTAAATTATGCTGCACAACTGCTGTGATAAAAACAGACACAAGGATCAATGGAACAGACTAGAGGATGCAGAAACGACTCCAGACACACTCAGCCACCTCATCTTTGACAAAGGGGCCAAACACTTTCAGTGGAGGAAAGATAGCCTATTTAATAAATGGTGCTAGAAAAATTGGCTTTCCACATCCCAAAGATTGAAACTAGACCCATATCTTTCACTATGCACTAAACTAAAATTGAAATGGATCAAATATCTAAATATTAAAACAGAAACCCTAAATCTGCTGGAAGAGAGAATAGGTGGAACTCTTGAGGACACAGGAGTAGGCAAAGACTTCATGAACAAAACCCAGACCACATAGGAAATACGACAAAGAATCAACAAGTGGAACCTCATCTTATTTAAAAGCTTTTGCACAGCAAGGGAAACCACCAACAAAATGAAGAGACAACCCACAGGATGGGAAAAATATTTACCAGCTGTTCAGATAAAGGACTATTATTTAGAATATATAAAGAACTAAAAAAAAAATCAGACCCCCCCCAAATTTAAAGATCCAATGCAAAAATGGGCATCTGAAATAAAAAGATACTTCTCAGATGAAGAATTAGAAAAGGCAAATAAATATATGAAAAAATGTTCAACATCACTGGTCATTCATGAAATGCAAATTAAAACAACGCTGAGATTCTATCTCACTCCAGAAAGAATGGCTGTTATTAAAAAATCAACCAATAACAAATGCTGGAGGGGCCGTGGGGAAAAACAAACACTTCTCCACTGCTGGGGGGAGTGCAGACTGGTGCAACCACTGTAGAAATTTCTCAAAAAACTAAAACTAGGGCCAGGGAGTTAGCTCAGT